AAATTTATACTTCTGCAGGTTTATATACTTATCTGTAGGCCAAAGTAAGGATTAAATTTTGCAAATTTGTGATTGTGGTTTTAATTCTTGTTTCATTACTTTTTTTAGCAGGATCCCTACTTCACTTTAAAATTCATAATTTTTAATACTGTTGTTATACTTATAACACTTACAAGTGCTAAGTCTTCAAGAGAAATGACTAGAGATGAAAAGGAATCGGAAAATATCTGAGTTAACTTTTATTTTATCTTCGACTCTTATTCGGCTTGTAGAACTTACCTTAAAACGGTGGTAAGTATATTCTTTAGCCATTTTTGTCTTGAACTATTAGACTTATTGAAAATTGTCATAAGACACTAGTAAATAGCTTAATGTGGTTTCTAGTGCGTGGGTTGAAGAAGGAAAGTAGAAGTGACCAATTGTGGTATTTCCAGGTAAAAATGTTGCCAACAGGTCAGTTTCAAATCCGTAAAAAAATTAATTCTAATAAAGCATATTGCTAAGAATAAAACGAACTCAGAAAGTAAAGTATGAAATATCTGTACAAAACAAGACACAAGATGTTTATTGTAAACAACAGGAGTACTGAGATATTACTCGATACTGGCCAACTTCTTTGCTGCTAGAGCAGAGAGGATGAAGACTATGTGCTCCCCAAAGAACAGGGGAATTTTCTTTATTCGGCAAAAGTATTGTGTGTATACCGTACTATTTATCCAAATGAAAGTCCTATTGTGGTATCCTACAATCCTAGATTATTTGCGTCAATGATCACATCCAATGAAGAGTAACTCCAAAATCAGTTCCACCCTTCCTCTTATCTATAAACTCTATGGAATGGCCACTTTAGTTTGTAACATTAGTCTGAGGTGATGATTAATATGGGTTTACTACTACTTTCGTTCTCTTCACAAGTAGGTTGCTTTTTAGTAATGATTCATTTAGGTAGCTTAGTTTGATCGGAAGTTAATATTGATTGTATAACATCTCCACAAAAACATTTAAAAGTAGAAAACCTTCATACATAAAACTGCATTTTAATTCTAGCTTTCAACTTCCACTTAACGACAATTTAAATTTAATAACTATTAGTTATTTAGAAGATGAAATAACTTTCACAAATATGATTATCTGTAATCATTTTCTTGATTTTATCCCACGGGCACTATATAATGTTTATTTACATTTTACAATTTTGCAAAATAGATATATGAATATAAATATGTTCTTGCCCCAGTGTCTCAGCAGTAAGTCTGAAAGCTTATAACACTATAAATGGGTTTTGATACCCATCGTGGTTACAGCACAGATATCCCATTGTGTAGCTTTGCGCTTAACAACAAACAAACAAATATATTCATTATTTGGTTAAAATGATTTCATTGGCGGAGGAAAGGCGTTAAGGCTGAATGGCTTTCTCTGATCTTCACGTTTCTTATATATATTTACATGCAATATGGAGCGAGAACTTACTAGTTACTGAAAGGTTGAAGTAGAAGAAGAAAGCGATGTATAGGGGCGGCACTATAGCTACTCCCAAATTTGCCTTAGCCACAATCAGTGTGTCCAACACACTGGTGATCACACATCTTGAAGGTAAAGCTCTTCCCAATATTCTGTCTGACCCATCTCATTCTCCCCAGCTGGAAAAGTTTGGCTCCGCACTTGGAGATGTAACAACATATTAATAAGTGGGCGCCGGACTTGGCGATGTAACAACATATTAATAAGTGATAAATAACGATGAAAAGAAATAGGCAGGTTTTTCTTCTTAAAATTGACTTTTGTGATTGGTATTGGAAATCAGGAAATGATTGTTAAATATATTATACAGGTTGTATCAGTCCAAAGTGTGTGTGCTTCTTATTGATTGTGGATTCAGAAGCATTTAATTTTTCAGTCTTTGCATAATGGGTTGATCGAATACGGATACATACTTTAAAGGGTGGCAGATTCTCTAACATTAAAAGAGGTACAAAAATTTGCAAGTTAATTGGAAAAAAACGTCAATGGATTGGAGTTAGATCTGGTTTTATTTGGATTGGATTAAGAAATAATAGAAGAGGATGTTCTATGGGTTCAAACAGTACTTTATCCTTGTAATTAGATACCACAGACAACTGTACCTTGCTGCATGTTTCCACCACTATTAGCACATTCGGGATTGCCCCAAAAGAGTTTAGTGAGATATCAAGAATGTGATGCACTGTAAGTAAAGCAGACAAGCCTGGTGCTACTGGGCCAGTAAGGACAAACATCTGAAACTGGTCGAGTTGAAATTGGCTCTAGAAAACAACCCTATTGAAATCACATAATAATGTTTTTTTACAACTTGGGACTACATGCAAACTCCTATTCTTGAGCCCATAAATATTTTATTTTTAGTTTTTGTTAGGGGGGCCCTACTGTAATCACATCTTTTTTCAACCCCCTAATGTCATCTCCGAGTTCACACACTTGTACTTTCGATGACGAAGAACAACTTTAATATAAGTTTAACATAACAGCAAATGTACAACGTTTCGTCATAATCAGGTGACAAAACCTTGTCAAAATGTTGTACATTTGCTGTTATGTTAAACTTATATTAAAGTTTTTCTTCATTACCCATTTAAGACGCCTACAACCATTATAACACTTGGACTTTGTTACTGTGATTTTCTCTAATCGTAGCGGCGTTTTCTGGAGGAAGGTGGAAGACAATGTGTATAGAAAAAAAAATCGCGAGAGATCGTATTTTAAAGGGTTAGACTCTTTTCTAATTTTATATTCATTGTACTTAAGGCCAATATCTTTTATAACTACAGATATTTGATTTCACGTCATTCTTGAAATACGGAGTGATATTATATCACCTCAAAATAAAAGAAATGGGGACAATTTGAAGTGTATGTAGCATGTTGCAATTGTTAATTTATTTACGTTTTTTTCTATTTGTAATGCCTATGTATTTTCTACCTCATTTATTTAGTAAAGTGAACCCTTAAAGTTCATCTAAATTTATATTTTCAAATTTTTCATTCGTACAAGAGTAAACAAGTTTAATGCAGAACTTTGGTCAGCAAAGGGGATAAGTTCATTTCGTAGTAATACATCACTAAATTTACAATCATGAAATGGTTAGGTGCTCAGTGTACGAATGCACACAGCATACTATTAGTATTTATGTAATTTGAAATAATTAACTGAAAGTGTAGAAATAAAAATTATTTTATACTACAGATAGTTATGAATACCTTGAAACAATCAGTTAAAATGTGAAATTATATGAACATATTTATTTGTGCACTGAGCATCTCGTCATTTATGGTTTAAATTGATTCTTTCAAATCACAACTTTTATAGTATCACTGACCAAAAGTAAAAAAAAAAAAAGGTCGTTTGATAAATCAGTTTCTCATAAAAACATACTTTTCAAAAATCTAGTTTTTTTTTCAACTAAACCAGAAAAACATTGATTTGTATTACATCTAAATAACGTTTCAAAAAATCACTTTTTATGAATTAATATCTCAATTATAAACTCTTAAAATAACCAACCCATTACCTATAAGGCTATATTGGTTCAAATATTACTCCTAATTTTCATAAAAAAAATTCTTTTATAATATTCAGTGAATATATCATTATTACACGCCCATGGAACTGATTATTTAGTTAAAGCACTCTTTCAGTTCCCCCAGTGCTTAACTGTGACCCCAAAAGAAACCACATGGGAGTAAGCACCTCAAGATATTTTCTATAATGGCTCAACTAAACAATATTTTCATTAGACTTGCACCTGTTTGATATCCAGTCATCATGTCTACCAGTGAACAAAATCTACATAAAGCAAATTATTCTAACAATTATACTATAAAATATATTTTATTTTTACAAATAATTACAGAAACAAGCTGAGATTGCTATTAACAAGTCTTGGCACACATGTATAACTGTATATAATCATTTTTGTAGGCTCCTTCATCCCTGAAAGGAGGGAAACAAGTATCGGTATAATTTTCTTTTCATGAGGAAAAATGATTCACCTATATACAGCTTTGATTAGTATATTTTTTCAGTCATTATTACAAATTTTTCATTAAATACACTGAAAGTTTGGCATTTGTTTAATAATGTCAATTATACCCTGTACCTGTGAAATCACTGAAAAGTAATATTTCACTTACAGAATAAAACAAGTAAAAGCATCACATTTGGGAAGAAAGTGCAAAAGCAATCAAAATTAAATGGCACATGGCAAAAAAAAGAGGTTCATCGATATTTTTTTAATCTTTAGGAGGTTAAAAAATTTAATTTGAATTAAATGTCCACTATTTCTCCGATATTTCAGGAATGTACATCATACTAAAAATTGCAACAACATACTTGCACAAAAATATTTTTGTGAAAATTAACAATATTAACAAGAAATATGTATATAATCACGTGTGACCGATAGTGCGAGCAATGTACTTTTTTTTAATTTGGAAGATGCATAACATTAAAAATGTCTTTACTTATTTAAAGTAAAAGTACAAATCAAAACAAAAGACATTACAAATAGGTTAAGTTCATACCCAAATTAAAAATTATGGTTTAATTTTACACACTATGTTGAAGAAAAAAAAAGCAAATCAAAATAGAAAAAAAAAAATTCAATTGTGATACATCCACACATGAATTTTGCTCCTACCGTCATATAAATCAACTAAAAAATATTAAATTTGTTTTCCATAACTTTATAAGAATGTCTTCATTTTTTTCCTAAATAATGAAATCAATTTAATTTGAACATATGAATTTAATTGTCTGAATTCACTTTCCTATATTGTTCCCAAAACTGATTACGAAAATCATGTTTTTTTACACTATGAGGAATAAAAATCAAGAAAACACATAATGCATTTATTTTAAATCCAGATCAGAAAGATTTATTTAAAATCACTGAATTGTTAAAAATGCATTTTGTTGCACTAAAAAAAACCACTTAGGAGAAAAGCATTTGGTAATGATGCAGATATTTTATGCCATTGTTACATATTTGTTAAGTTTACAAAGATTATCTAATTTATGCTGTTGTGTTCTCAATTTTCTTAAGAAAATAAAGTGGACTATACATATATTTAACACAATAATTTCTTTAATAGTAGTAATAAATTATGTCACACATATTCTTCACCAGGCTTGGAGTGTCCTGAGGCAGTATTGACTGTATCTGGTAATTCAGCTATATCTTTAAAGACACCCACTAAGCTTTGAAAATTTGGACCCCAGTTGAGAAGATAATCCCATCCTAACACAGTATCATGTGCAGGTTTATACGATGAAAGATTTGAGAAGTCATCATCTGAAGCCACTAATGTGCTCAAAGATCCTCTTATTGAATCAAAACCATCATAGGCTTTAGCAGAGTCCTCTTCATTTTCATTGTCTTCTTCGGCAAGTTTTGAGAAAATCATGTTTCCTGGTCCAAAGTCTCTATGAACTTTATCAAAATTATTGTCATATTCAAATTCTGAACATGTAAAAGAGTCATTACCACTCTCATCAGTAGTGGAGTCTGGGGCTTCCAGAAGCTCTGTATTAGTTTCTAAAATTTCTGTTAGTTTATTTTTCTCAGTATTTCCATCACTTGATGAAGATACAGCATCCAGAGTGCTGACCAGACTGGAGTTTCTTGGATGGGCATTAAGCCTGTCTATTTCTTCTGCTGTTAAACATAAGTTAATTCCAGAATTTCTAGCTTTTTTTTTATTTCCCGACTGTGAACGAGAATGCAGACTGATGGTACTGTGACTTAAATTGCTTACGGGACTATTGAGACTTCGTTCCGAGTTATTGACAGGATCTTTAGATCCCACAATTTGGGATGTAGCAAGAAGAGCAGTTTGTAAGGGTTTTCCACTTATATCCTGAAGAGTTAATATGCGTGGAGTTTGATGAGAAAGTTCACTTGAGGGACTAAGTCGTGCAAGTGGGGTATTTAGCATTTTATGAGCAGAACTGTCTCTTGATTGAATAGAATTTGGGCTTTGGTGAAGCACACTACGAGGGCTTTCTCGAATAGGACTAGGTTGGAACTGGTGAGGGCTGTGTCTGTGGTTATGTTTATGATAGTTGGGAATATGTGGATTAGTTTTGTACTTTCTTTGATTCCCATCATGGAATCCTTTATAGTGATATACAATATCTATGTCAGAAGGAGCAATGCTACTGGCATTTTCCAAGTCATAATGTTCTGGAATATCAGAACCATTTATATCATGCACTGCAAACCCACTGGAGGCCTTAGAAGCATCTTGAAGTGATAACTCATCTGTTCTGTGCACAGACATACTCGATGACTTCTGTATTACTTCTCTTTCGATAATGTCTGGCCGTTGGGGCCATTCAGTTGGCACATCTCGATCTTTCATCTTCTTTGGCACTAAGTCCTGTGGTAGGTGACTTCTTGTTACATCATCCCCTTGACCAGTGTCATTATAGCTTGAATCCTGATTACTTCTCTGGTTCTCAATGCCAGCACTGGCTAAAAATGCATTTCCTTGTGGTTTTATGTGATTATGGGGTTTGCCTTGTTGTTGCTTTCTTCTTCGGAAAACAAAAAAACTTATCATGATAACAACTAAAAGGATGACAAAGAACACTATAACAAGAATCACACCAATACTAAGAGGGTCTGTTGAGGCCACATCTATGTCTAGCACTTTTTCACTACAGCTTGCATGTACATTTCCATGGGGAATCATTCTAAAGAATCCTCCAGTCAAGTTCAGTCCTTGAACTTTTTTATTAATGGTCAGTGTATGAATGCATCCTTGAAATCCTATCAATAAACAAATGTAAAACATTTAGGAAATTTTCAAAATATTCCTCACAATTAAACATAGTTGATTAAATTTCCAGAAGAAAGTCATTGATCAAAGTTTATAGTAGTATAAAAAAGGCATTAAAAATAATCATGATAAGACATGTACATCTTTAACACAATATATATGTATTTTGACTCTGCTAGGAATTGATGAAGAAATATTATAATGAAAATGCTCAACAAACTATGTAATGTAACTTGAAACTACAAATGTTTTGTGAAGAGTTTCCATACAAATATACTTTATATTTTCATTCCTTTCTTAGTATGAGTAGAATCAACTGTAAAGAAAATTTCTAATAACCTTGCTCATAAATTAAAGAATACACTTGATTATAAGTTCAAAGTATTAATATTTTGAAGTTTTTTGAGTCATTTTTCACAGATTATTAATTTTACAGAAGTTAATAAAATGTAGTAAAGCTTTTTAAAACACATTTGATATTTTTGAGAGACAATGTAAGTGTTATTTCACAATTTGAACCATATATTACAAAATTTGTTTCTGCTATCTTGCCTTATATACTAACTTAGTGTTGTGACATGTTCTGTTGCTGAGCAGAATCTTTTGGATTATTTAGTGAAAATAATGTCACATACAGTCCACATAACATTAATGAATTCATTTTTTCTTCAATAAATACATTTGCTAGATATCACATTCACTTTGACACAAGTTACAGGTCTAAGTTCACAAACAAAATATTCAGTGACCAATTGTATGCCTAACTTACAAATAAACTTACTTACAGAATTTCCTCACTAACGTATCAAGTACTAAATAGACATGGTAACCCTCATACTAACACTGAACTGGATCAATGATTACTCATTCGTTAACTTATTGATTCACAGCTTTACTTTACTTGTATTTATACCATACTCATCTTCTACTTACAACATAAATTTTCCAGATCATAACATTATGCACTCTAGCAACCACTGAAATTAAAACATTGAAAATAAAGCTTACAACACTAATTTTTTAAACCAATAATTGAACAAGTTATCAAGTATGAAACCTGCAAGCATTACCAGTATGATTAAAGTGTGCTCTCTGAATATTGCAAACATAAATTCATGGTACTTAAGAAGGTGCAAGACAAAAAAAAAGTTGGCAAATAACATTCAAAAATCCAATAAAACTCTAGTCCTTTTGACAAGTGAAACTATAAAAAGTATTAGAGTTTTATCAGGTCTTTTAATGTTGATTACTCAGTTATAAATTTCTTGAAGTTCTTTAAAACATGTAAATTACATACAATATGATACTAAAATATAAAAAAAAGAAAGAGAGAGAGAGAGAGAGAAATTACCAGGAACTCGACTATCTTTTCCATCTATTATTTCATTCAAGTGCCCACCAATAGTCATAACAGTCAAAAATGGATCAAGAAAATCATGAACTTTGTGGTCTGGATCAGTTGATTGCCATTCCTGATCTAAAGTGATGTTGACTGAGCCAGCATTTAGTGTGAGAGTTAGAGAGTGCCACAATCCATCTGCAACCTTTATACTTTCAAATGCTAACGTCACAGGTTTTTCAGACTTCTGATGGGAACTGTATATCAAAACTTTGTTTCTTAACTGAAAATTGAAAAGGAGAATAAATCATATTCCACTTATACTGCAGTAAAAAAAGGAGATTTGCCACATCTAACTCAATACAAAAAGCATAATTCAGTAATTTCAAACACTGCAGTGTGCATTAACTACAGATTACAAATTAATATTTTGCCATATTTTAGGAATAAGTACTTTTAAGGATAGACCTTGATTTGTTTTACTTTTCTATAGTTACTATAATTAAAAAACAATTAAGTTGTTTGTGTTTTTAAAAAACATTTTCATTATTATTTTAAGTTGAAAATCAAACATAGTTTTCATTTAGAGACTTTGCAAAATCAGGTCACTGGAATATAGTATAACTTAAAATATTCAAGGTACATTGTTTCTTAGTAAGGTGGTCTAATTATTTAACAAATTTCAAAAATTCACAATAACAATATAGTGAGCTGAAAATGTTCACCTTAACATTTTTTATAAGTTTTTTAAAGCTTAACAACAGATACTTCTTAAATTACAACAGTAAGAAATATAAAAATGCTTAAATTACTAAAGTAATGAAGTAGTTATAGGGTTGACTGCTTAGGCCTTGAGCCCTTGGTGGTTTAGTTAGAATAGTAGTGTGAGCATCCTTCTGGGTTTAAGCTCTGTTAAGGATAGATTGTTTTTAACCTAATTCAGATTATTACAGTACTCGTGATAGAAAGTATCAATTATATCAAATAACATTTCGAACATTTCACTTTATATTTCAGTTTTGGATTTATGCTTTGAAAATACACATACCTCAGCCTTATAAACCCAATTTGTTCAGTATGAGTCTGTTTTTTTTTATCTGTTAAAATAAGTTTGTTTAATATCTTACGATGAAATTTAAAGTTATAAAATGAAAAGTAAATTTAATCTTACCCGCAAAATAGTATGTTCATTTTCTGTAGAAGCATATATGAGAAGCCCATCTGGTGAACTACTACGAAATGTAACAGAAAGAGACTTGGTGACAGAAAGCTCAGTTCTAGAGACTGAACGCTTCCATTTCTGCCCAGAATAATAAGAGTAGCTCCTGAGTAAAAATCGTCGCAATTCTTCTTGAGGAACTAATTCTATAAAAGCTTCTTGGTCACCCAAAGATATTGGCTCAAATGCTATAAGAAATAATTGGGAAAATTATATACTAATAATAAACAATTAAAATTTTATCTATAGTAGTTATCTGGCTTATTATTATATGTTTTTTTTTTTTATCTAAGCTATCTATAGTTTTGAAAAATGAACAGCATTACCTAGTTAATTTCACAGATGTTATGACAACAACACAGTAATTATTGAGTAAGGAAGCACATTATGCTAATACAGTAATAGGTTGGCAAACAATGGTATAGGCATAAGGAAGAGTTTTATTGATGGTGTAACATACTACATATTTCAACAGAACATTGGACAGAACATAGAAAGGTGAATGATGAAATAAAAGATTTGACATATAATTCACAGGTGTTGTAAAAATATGACAAAATTAAATGACCAACTGTGCAAAACAATGTTTATCACCTTATAATAAAAAAGGAAAAATTTACTTTACATACATAGTAACAATACCTTGCAAGAAATAAAAAACTAATCAAAAATAAAAGTTTAATTAAATAAAGGTTACAATGACATCCCAAACACGTTATAACATAGAAACCTGAAAAACTGTGGTGATAACCTATAGGTAATGTCGACTATAGTAACATTAGTAAAAATAAAAATTAAGAGTTCTTGCAGATATTCAAATGTAAAAGTAAATGTAACATGAAGGTTTAATCACCTTACAGAGATAAAAGCTTTATCTCTTATTTAAATATGATTTAGTGCTTGCCTACAAACAAACAACAAAAATCTTTCTCTCTTAGTTAAGTATAATTTAGTGCTTGCCTAAAAAAAAACAACAAAATATCTTTATCTCTTAGTTAATATGATTTAGTTCTTGCCTCAAGAAAACCAAACTTTATCTCTTAGTTAAATATGATTTAGTGCTTGCCTAAAAACAAACAACAAAAAAATCTTTATCTCTTAGTTAAGTATAATTTAGTGCTTGCCTAAAAAAAACCAAATTTTATCTCTTAGTTAAATATGATTTAGTGCTTGCCTCAAAAAACCAAACTTTATCTCTTAGTTAAATATGATTTAGTGCTTGCCTAAAAAAAACAACAAAAAAATCTTTATCTCTTAGTTAAGTATGATTTAGTGCTTGCCTAAAAAAACAAAACAAAAAATCTTTATCTCTTAGTTAAGTATGATTTAGTGCTTGCCTAAAAAAACAACAAAAAAATCTTTATCTCTTAGTT